CTAATTGGTATGAGATGTATGATACACCATGGTGGACATTAGCATAAGGTCGTGATTATGGACATATTTACTCAGATTTGCTTAATCTCAACCGTCCATTATTGAAAATGCTTGGCTCCTATCATACAAAAAGCAAAAAATATATAAGATTTTTTTATAAAAATATTCAATAAATATATTCGTCGGATTAGAATATGCGAACTGAAAAAAGAATCGAGAAAAATGAAGATAAAAAATACTTTAAAACTAGATAGCCATTGTATAATAGAACAGACCATCATGCATAAGGTTCCTAGTTTTTGGACACGTGTTTTTTAGTTCTTCCTTTTAGCTAACTTTACTTTTTTTTTTTCTTGTAGTTTTTTTTTTTAAAATGTTTGATAGGATGGTTCTTTTTTGGTAGTACAAGAGGAAAAAGGTCTTCTTTACTGTACTATAACTAGAATTCAAGACGTCTTATCGTTACATCCCCCAATCTAATATTGAGGGCATTTTTAATAGAGTGGTATTTATTAGTAATGGAATGGAGGTTATTAAATATGCCAAAAGGTATTCTACGCCTTCAGGAGTATACTGTCCATGTACTCCCTCGACTAAAATCCCACATAGGATTAATTTCACGACCTCAATCTTTTGGGGATATAACCTCTTTAATATATAGATTAAAGTCAATAAAAAAATCCTAATTGCACCTTCTATGGACTTAAAAAAAATAGCATCTCAATATTGAATAAAAACCACCTAATTTTTAGAGGGTGTGATCTAAGTGTTAAAAAACTCAAATTTCTAAGTTTTTCTTTTAAGAATAACCTTTTAAGTGGCTGCCAAACTTTCGAAATTGAAAAAGTCAACCGAGGGAGTAGAAGTCTTGGCAGCATGGTATATGTTATCATTAAATATTTAGTAACCAATATTCCAACATCTATAGAATATCTAATACAATGGTTAAGAGGGATTTCTCATATGATGAAATACGGGGAACCACCTACATAATCATTTCGTTTGAATAGTTTTACTAAACTTGATTTTAAATAAATAGTAGTAATAAGACTCGCCTAAAATTATGATAACCTGGATGTTTTTTTGAGTAATTCAATGGGGAAGACGGGCCTCTACCCGTTTTTTTAAGTAGATTAAGAGTTAACTTTTTGAAAGTGTAAGTGGGGTAGCGTTAGGGGTCGGACTTAAAACCACAACGTGGTGATGAAGATGTGGGGTACTACCACCAAGACGCCAACCCCTTCCCAACATTCAAGTAATCAAACAAAGAGAACTAACAAACTTTCTAAAAAAAAGGAAGAAGTTTATATAAGGCGTCAACCTTATAATGTAAAAGTAAATCGCACCTCAAAAACCCATTAGAAAGGTTATTCCGATACTAAAAAACCCTCCAATTGATTGTGTTAAATTTGATATTTGTATGATGATGAATAGAAAATGATTTCAAGCACTAAAAACAATGCATCTTGTTGCATAATATCTAGAACATCTATTTCAAGTTTTCCAAGTGCTTATAGATTTGTACTCTTTTTCATGCTTTAAATTTCATAAGGATGAGGTTTCTAGAAGACCTAGGCTTTATAAAAATAAAATAAAGCCTCTCCTCAATTCCTCGTCCGGAAAGCACTTCAAGCAATGAAAATCGTAATGACATCTCTAAAATCAATTTCCAACACCGACGATGAATTTGAAACTCAAAAAATGGTAAAGATCTTGCCTATCTATGAATACGTTTTTTAGGGTGAAATGAACTGTCTAGATAATTTGTTACAATATAACACTATTTTTAGAGCTTTAAATCCTAAATTTTTTTCCACAACCTTAATGTTCAAGCCACGAATGATGATGTAAAGGTTTTCCAATACTCGAATTAAAATTTTCGATCAGTTTTGAGGTGAGGCTTTACTTATTTTGATAGGGCTGCAGCCCTATCAAGCCATTTTTCATTTCCTAATTAGGGGGGAAAATAGATTTTCTAGCCATCATGAAATATTTTGATACCAAAACTGCATCATCGAACAAAATTTGGAGTTGCGCCTCACTCTTATTTTTTAAGGTTGACACCTTATGCAAACCGTACCACTAAAATAAATATATATTATTTCCTTTTTATCCTTAATTATATTTATTAAAAGGGTGTGGTTTGCATTAGGTTACAACCTTAAACAATCAAATAAAGGTGTGCCTTCAAATTTTATCATAACCATAACTGTGGTGTCAAAATTTTTAAGGATGGCTTGATAATCTATTTTTATCTCTAATTATAAAATTTTAAACGTTCAAATCAAGTTGATCTATAAACACATGAAAATCTTGAAAATGGACCGTCCAGGTAAAGTGTATACACTATTTTTGGGACTTGAAATCTTTTTGTCATTTTGATGTTGAGATGATCAATTAGAGGGTTTTTTGACATTAAAACAACCTTTTCTAATGGATTTCTGAGGTGCACATTAATTCTACATTTTAAAGTTGTAACCTTATATAAAAAAAATTTCTACATTTTAAGGTTGTAACCTTTTACAAACTTTTTCCCAGAAGCAACGATATTTAGACCCCAAAATTTTGACTAGATTGCTATTATAAGGAAGTAATACGTATTACGTAGTTACAGTTGAGGAGCATAAATCTTGAATAAGCAAAATGAAAATTTGGTATTTATGAAAATTTACTAAAAATAAGCAATTGAACTAAGTTTCTTAAGTGGAATGCTCGAATAAATGTTCATGGAAAAGCATTATTTGATGAATTGAAATTGTTGATGGGTTGTGTGAATTGCGCATTGTCAAAATCCATTCGATGAGAATTTGGTAATAAGAAATTTAGGTCAGGAATGTATGTATGAATAACTTAATGATGGCATCTAGGGCACGTTTGATCATTGGAACCTTCAGCTCTAGAAGCAGGAAGTTCTAGTTTATTGTGGCGCTTTTTTATCTAACAAAAAAAAAAAAAAAGGGGACCTGCGTTCCATCTCCGTCACTGATCATGTTTTTTAAGAAGTATGTTTTTCTCTTTTCTTTTTTTTTCTTCCCATGTCCTCTCTCTTTCTATAATACCTCTCTCTTTAACTATGCTCTCTCTCTCTAGCAGTGTCCTTTCTAAATCTTATCCATCTCTTTCTAATCATGTATTTTCTCTCTTAACTCCATTCTTTATCAAATTATGCCCTTTCTTTCTCTAACTCTACTCTCTCACAACACCCATTCTCTAATCATGTCCTCTCTCTCCTCCCAAAGTTCTCTCTTTCCAGCCGTGTCCCTCTCTCTCTCTTCATTCTAATTATGCCCTTTCTCCCTCTTAACTCTATTCTCTCTCTAAGGCCGTATTTGATCGATTTGATTGATGGAAGAAGCAGATATGAAAACCGCCTTTTCCACTAGCTTTAGAAGCCTAATTATGCCCTTTCTCCCTCTTAACTCTATTCTCTCTCTAAAGGAGTATTTGATCGATTTGATTGATGGAAGAAGCAGATATGAAAACGGCCTTTTCCACTAGCTTTAGAAGCCACGGCTTCAATGGTGTAATATGGAAGCTATGTCTCCCCCATTTAGGCTCATTTAAGTCGGGAAGCGGTGTGTTCCAAAATGGTGTAACACTTCCTGTTAAAAAACAGGGGAAGTGCTACAGTAGTTATCCAACATCTTAAATGTCCACTTTCACACTAACAATATCCTTTTCCTCTCTCTAATTGTGCCGGTTCTTTTTCTAAATGTGGCATCTCTAATTTCTTTCTCTCTCTAAATGTATCATTTATCTGTGCATATTCTCTTTAAATGTGGCCCCTCTCCCGTGCACGTGTGTGTGATGTATGTGCGAGGCTAATCTCTGTGAAGATTTTTAGGTTAGTGAGCCATTTGAGAACTTCCAAACATGCTATCCAAAACTTCCAGCTATCCAACTTCTTGGGACGTAGAGCTTTTAGTCCTCGTAGAATCCCCTAGCTTCTAGTACCAAACATGCCTCTTATCCATTTTGGTCTTAGGTAACACAAATGCCTTGGTTGTTTGTGTTTATTATGTTATTCTCTAAGAAAACTCGAGGACTTGCTCTCTGGTTATCTTTACATATGGCCACCATGTAATGTGACTGCTATTCCCAACCATCAAATCTAAATAGGTGGCTGGTCTAGCTTCAGCGATAATGTCATAAATAAGCCTCTTAAGCATTTGATCTTGATTGGTCACCTCAAATTACTTTATTTATGTTTTTTATTTTATAGATCATTTCAACATGAAATTTGAGTCGTGCCTACTTCTCGTAGAGGCACACTTAAAAAAAAAGAAATTACTTTTGATAACAATAAATGACCAAGGTAATGTAAAACTTATCAAAAGTATTTTGGCCTGTTTATTTTGTTCGAATTTTTTCATTTGTTTTTTGTTAGGTGTGCCCTGGAATTGGGCATTGCCCAAAATTTAATGTCAACATGATTTATAGAAAAAAGAAGAAGTAAAGAGTAAACTATGATAAGAATTTAATGTCAACATGATTTATAGAAAAAAAGAAAGAAGTAAAGAGTAAACTATGATAAGCGTGGTTGTGACTGAAGCTATCCTAGGCATGCATTCAAATCAGACCGATGAGAATAGCAGTCACCGTTTTTTATTTGGGTGGCACCACGTGTAAAAATTTCCGTACTTATTACCCTAAAGAAAATAAAAAGATAATACATATGAGAGAAAGGGGGAAAATGTATTTGAATCCGTTAAAAGGCCCAACCATAATCCACAAAATTCTATTCATCACAACTTGGCTTAGCCCACTTGATAATTATCTCACACCCCCATACCCTAGTCACCACATTGTGATTTCCATTCTCACTGTCACCACCCCACTAACATCCTCAAAAAACTAACTCCTTAGCTATCTGAAAAAATGGGTAGGGGCCTATCTTCCCTGCTGAATTACCAAAAAACAAACTTGATAATTAGCTCTAGTATCTTCGATGGTCCTCACAAGATTCATGTTCATTGATTTTTTTTTTCTCATATTTTCAGGTAGAGATAACATGTAGAGGCCAACAAGTTCTTCCTTTCTTTACATTGCACGATGTTAGAGATGCCATATGGTGTTTGAGGGAGGAGAGGGTGGCTTTAACTTCAAGCAGCGAGCAAGTCATGGTCTTAAGTTATGCCAAAACGGCTTAATCTGTGTATTGTATTACCTGTTTTGCTCTTTCATTTTGCTCCTTTTTGCTTTTATTTTGCTGCTAATTCATTGAGAATGGCTTGGAGATTCCACATTTTGCTTAACCAATTTTTAGGGTTGGTAATCTCAAACGCTTGTGTATTTCCAAGCCACAGGTATTTTGGCTTGATATTCTTTTTTTCCACCCTTTTTCCTGATAATCGAGTCGTGATGACTTTGCTTGCAAAGATTTGCTGGTGCCTTTATCCAGTGATCAATTAATATTTGAAGTGAATTATTATTCCTCGTAACATCTATGATTCGCGCCCCGTTTATTTTTTTTTATTTTTTTTGAGGTTTTGATGCTTTAGTTGGCGTTCAAGACTTTGTTATGAAAACGAGGAATACCGTTGCATTTTAAAACAAGGAATATTGTTGGATTTTTTGTAGGTGAAAGTGGGGCAGAGTAATAAGTACATACACTTCCAGTATTGTGGCTCTTTCCTGTTTGATAGCAAGGAAGTTTTACAGTGACGTGGATACCGTTGTATTTTTCAAAACCGTGTCTTCTATAAATCAAACACGCCCTAATAAGGTTTCACAATTGAAAACTTGCAACTCTCAATACACAAGAGAATATACACAACCATCAGTGCCACAACGTTGCATAAGAGGAAATGTGCAACAACAATCAATCAATGCACCAAGAGAAGATACACAACTATCAGTGCGCAAAGAAGTGTTGAAATGTGGAACAATCGATAGAGGAGAAACAAAAAAATCAGTGTGAAAGAGGGAATTGCAACTATTAATGCATAGGTACAGAAACGTAAAATCGATGCATACAAGAATAAGGATCCGATTTCTATGCGGCCAAGCCCGCATATGTAGATATGCGGGCCTATTAATAAATCTATTTTTGAGATGGATTTTAAGACTTAATTTTTAAGGATATGTAATCTCTAATATAGAGATCATGGATATGCATAAATAAATAAATTTTAAAAACTAAAAATAGTAATTCTAGTAAGAAAATATTTGGACTGTTAGTTTCCATTGTTTTTAGATGAAACACCTGATGCTTTACACTTTCTGGACCGTATATGTAGAAATGCGGTCCAACCCGCATGAAACAATTTTTCTAAGAATAATGATCTTTGGTTTCTAGGCATGCCATAATGATGCATTGATGAACATGTATCCCTCTGTTGAGATGAAGTTCAATGTATAACTCTAGGAACATAACTAAACATATGAACATACAAATTTTTGTTTGCGGACATACAAACTTCCTCCGAACTTTAGGATAAATATGAAAGTTCAAGAAGAAGAGAGAATTTGAATCTATTTAATTCGTCATGTAAATGTGCGGTTCATTGCTGTTGTGCAAATTCAAATAAAGAGAAATGATTTTTCATTGTGACTTTTCATAAAAGATATTCACCACTATTAGCATTAATGACAGTTCAGGAAAATGGGTCATCAAACAGTCATTTTTTGCATTAATGATTTTTTTTTTTGTAATTTAAAGTAGACACATTTATGTTTTGCGTTAATGATGGTTTATTTGTAATTTGGTGTAGACACCCATTTTTAAATTCATCTTCTTTCTAGATCCTTGAACCTTGAAACCATAGCGAACAAACTTAATTCAACCTACTACACCAGTGGGAACTCTATTAGCTTGATACACCATACACCATGGAGTACCATAATCCACCTTAATATCCTCCAAATATTCACTAAATCACCTATTAGGCTAAATCCACCCAAAATGACCAGAAATAAAATGAGAAAGGATAGAAAAATTTGAAATGTGTGGCCCAATTATAACAAGTATGCAATGTCAAAAAATCTCACAAAACTGGAATCGATGGAAAAAATTGCATTGAATGAGATCCAAAGATGGTTTAGCGCCATGCTAAGTCTAGCAACGTGTCACTGATCGAATACATAGTCTAGATTAATTTGACAGGTTGGCATTGCATCATTCCTCTATAGATAGGCCACTTGATTTCCCCTTTTTCGATCTTTTGGCCCCATTTTCGGTCGATTATCTCATGAAATCCTAGAAACCCTAACCCCAATCATCAAACCCAAGTTTTAAGTAGAAAAAGTATCTTGTTATTCTTTATTTTTAACTTCTATATCTCATGAGACTTAAGAATTGAAAATATTATTTATAAGCAAAATGTCTTCATCTTTTCTATCTTACAACACCCTGGATCCCTTTGATCATAAAATTTTGATCCAAACAAACATTAAAATGACACCTTATTCAAATTCTATCTCTCTCTCTAAAACTCCATCTCTCTCTCTTCGCTTCTCGATGAGTTTACCAGTCAAGGGGTTTAGCTTGAGCTCAAAGACGATGACACCTTCTCATGTGTGAGAGAGAGATGGATTTTTAGAGAGGGAGAGATGGAGTTTGAGTTTTAGGGAGAGAGATTGAGTTTTGAGAGAGAGAGAGACGATGATGAGAGAGATAAGGAGTTTGGGTTTTAGAGAGAGATAGAGTTTTGAAAGAGAAAAAGAGAGACGATGATGTGAGAGATGTGGAGTTTTAGAGAGAGAGATGTATATAGTCATTTCATAAGTTGTTGAGGTCAATAATACATAGTCAAAAGGTTTTAGAGGGTTAAAAGATATAAAAGATGAAGTCTTTTTACGTACAAGTAATATTTCAATTCTTAGGTCTGATGAGATATAGAAGTTAAAAATAGGTGATAATAAGATATTTTCCCTTTTAAGTATTCCAAACCATAATATTTCCTACAACCCATTAGATCTCATAAAGCTTCAATCATATATACTCCTGTGCTCTACAACTTCAATAAGAAGGAATCCTTTGCTCCATTCCAAGCCTTGAAGTTGGAGAAAAGGTTCATGGTCATTCATCAGGTCGAACAGGGCCCCGACTCCTGGTGAGGGGCCCGTTGGCCAAGCCTCAAGGTAGAAATGCCTTTGCTTCTTATTTTATTTGCCTATTTCTTATTCTTTGCTATTTTCGTATTTTTTATGTTTTACATTTTTCTGATATTTTCAGCACTGATTATCCATAGAGGCAGCGAACAATCTGCAATCAGTTGTCTATCTAGATCGCACGGTTGGGACCAACTCCCTCATAGTATAGTTGAATGAGATAAGCATGTATTTTAAATTTGGATTCAAAACACCTCTAGGGAATATCATCATGATAACCTCTATCTTATTTGAACTTAGGGGTTGCTGTATTTGATTTTGAACCTATAACCAATAAGATTTGTTGCCTTATTATAGGAAAAAGTCAAGGAAATAAATCATCGGCGGACCTGTCATCGGTCAAGCCATTATACAGTTCTGCCGTGTCAGAGTCTAATCAATGATGGTCCTTGATGGTGAGTTCTTTTAGTCTTATGGTGATAGAGGACTTAAAGATAAACCCAATGGCCCAAGACTCACCTCAAATGGATTAATAACGAGGGAGATATGGCTCATCCAAATTTACCCATTTCTGCTTCCCAATGGTATGGCCACTCCGTTTTCTTCTCCAAGGATCATATGCCTTGGAAGGTTCATAATCGTGTAGAAGAACTCATGATGCACATCCCCACAATTTTCCTACCAAAATACTCCTGTTGTTGCAAGGCCAGCCGCTCACATGGAAGACGTATAGGGTGATACCCTTCTCATGCCCGATAGTGTTTTGAATCAGGAATCTAATTGTTTAGGTTTCATGAGAAAATTCTTGATAGATTGAAAAAAATCTTAATTTTAATGATTGAAGGTCATCCTGGTTGCATAAAATATACCTGCAGACAATGGATATAAGTCTTAGCTGCCGCCTGGAATATATGAGAGGTCATATCATCTCTAAATGATCTAAAACTTTAGGGGGAGGTTTATTACATATCTCATATGATTTCTCAAAAATATCATGAAGAGGCAAGCGGTCAGGGCATATCCCAGTGACCAATAAATTTAGATGATGAATTAAATGGTGTCCAATTTGTAGAGGCATATAAGGCCTAACACATCTGTAAAGTTTCACTTCATTTTGATATGATTAAATGATGTTTCACAAGGTGTGGCCATCAAACACCTCCTTGACAGACAACGGTCAGAAGACACATTGAGCTGTATCCAAATTCCTCAAATATTGTGTGGAGAGGCATATAGGGGCCATAGGAGCACAAGTTCCAAAGTTTGGTCTCAAGTTGAGATTGTTTGAAAGTTTTTATGATGGGATGGTTATTAACATACCTATAATGATCCGCGGTCACGGCTTCAAGACGTATCGAGGCTTTGTATTTTTCTTTCAGGTGATTTTCAAGGGTGAATCTAGTGAACAATCCCCCCTTTTTTAAATCCCAAGCAAGTTTATCTGGCATCTTTTTTTTATTGTTGGATTTATTATTGGAAAAAAGTAAAAGAAAAATGGGGATTTATGGTGGTTTTTTGCAAAAAACCATATAATGGGTGTTGAATCTCTTGATTATTGTATTGGGCAGTAATTTCATGCAACGGTTGTATAATAATATACTACAATAACTTTCAAAAACTATGTTAGGGTCATTTGTTGGATCCAAAATTTGAAATATATACTATTTTCATTCTAATGAACAATACAAAAAATGAAAATTTGAAAACACAACCTAGAAAGTATTTTTTTAGCCCAATTAATATACGCCGTTCATTATGGTGAGATGCTTAATTTTTTTAGATAATTTTATTATCATTAAATTAACTATATTAAAAAGAAAAAAGATGATTTTGAATTCATAAAGGCATAGATCTTAAAATTCATCAAATAGATGGTCAAGATTCATTATTGGAGGTGACTCATTTTGACCATATATGGTGCAAATTATTATTAATTTTGTTTATTAAGATTGGTTATTGAGATGAAGAGAGTATGTGCAAACATGGTTTTCTAGAAGTATGATTGCATTATACTATGATACAACCGTTGCATGAAATCATTGCCTTATGGTATTTCATTGTCTTCATGCAATTCTTGTGTGAAAACTGAAAAAAAAAATTTAAATTTTGTATTAGTTTTAGATATTGTATTATTTTTCTTCTTTTTTCTTTTTTTTATGAAAAACCCATATAACAGGTACTTATATCTAGAGATTTGTTTAGGTGATTTCCAAGGATGAATTTGATCATTAATCTGCCCTTTTTCGAAGCCCAAGTATATATATGGAATATTTAACCATTTTGAGTTGTTTGATTTATTGTATAAAATAATAAGAAATTTAAAAATGGCATATAACTGAAATGTCCAAATTACTTTCATTCAATCATCATTTGATTTATT